AAAAAAAAAGCAGCACTTTCAAGACGAGCTCGACACCCCACCCAGGCAGGCGATAGGCATCTTTCGAAATCCTCCAACCCAAACACACCCACAGCGTCTCTCGCTTCAAGGCTCCTCTGTTCCAGCGGCTTCTGTTCCGCAGCGCTCCCCCGAGAAGAGCCCGTCAGAATCACCCAGGGGTCCCCCAAAGCCAGCCCGGTGCTGCCGGGGCTTGGAGAAGCGCTCGGGGAGCCTGGCAGGGCTCAGTTTATCTTTGCAGGGACTCGGGGAGCGGCCGCTTGGCCCGAGCACAGGAGGGGAACTGCTCCGGCAGCCCCAGCAGCGTCCCCGCTTGCTCAAGGCCACCAGAGGTTGGTTATGTTGGTGGTTTATTTGCCACACTCTGCTTCCCTTTCCCCCAAGCCAGGGTGATGTTTCTCCTCCAGCCCGGGGCTTTTTCCCCGCCAAAAAAACCCTTAAAAAAAGCTGCTGGAGGGAACGCAGCAGAGCCAGAGCGGGGACCAGGGCCAGGCGAGGGAGCAGGGCCAGGGGCACCCGCACAGCTCCGAGCCACACCGGGGGACAGCAGCTGGCACTGGCACTGCCCCCCCGAGCTGGCCCCTGGCCCAGGGCTACGAGCCGGCTGCGAACCCCCGGGCACCGGGGAGGCGACGGGAGAGCCCCGGGACGCGGCGGCGGCAAAAGAGGAGGAGGAGGAGGAGGAGAAGGAGGAGGAGGAGGAGAGAGCCCGGCCAGAGCCGGCCCCCAGCCCCGCGCCCCCTCCCAGAGCCCCCCCAGCCACAGGGGACCCCCGGCCGCTCCTGCCCCCCTACCTTAATAGTGCCGTCCATCGGGAAAAACTTCCAGCCGGGACCAGCAATATTCCACACATTGACCCGGTTTAGCCTGCGACTGACGCCTCCTGAAGTTTTTTATCCTTCTCTCTCTTTTCGCTCTTCTCGCTGCCCTTCCAGCGGTTTTGTTGCTCTCTCCGTAGCCTCTCTCCCCCTCTCTCTCTCCCTCCCTCCCTCTCTCTCGGTCTCTCTCTTTTTTTAACTTTGGTTGTTGCAGCAGAGCGAAAAAGAGACAGTTAACCGGATGAAACGTTTTTTTCTGCTAATTTTGGGAAGTGAAGTCACTCGAGGAGGAAACCTTCGTCTCTACGCTGGTCCTGCCTTCTTGATGAAAATATATATATTTTACATACAGGATATTTGCTCCATTTAGATAAGAAGGGGCAGAACAATAGCCACCTCTGTCACAGCTCTTGTTTGTCGCTGGGACAGCCCGGCCAGCGCAGACCTTGCCTCGCACCCCAGCCCGTGTTAGGCAGTCTGTGTCATCCCACGTTTAGTTTAACGTGGGGTTTTGCCATTTTTTTTTTCTTTTGGCTGGAGCAGCTTTAGCCTGACTCACTGAATTTCCGTCTCTTCCCACAGATTTTTTCATTAATGCGTTTTCCAGTCAACGGGAAAAATTAAGGGGAGAAAACCGTAAATGCAATTCAGGGACGGCAGGCGGAGAGAGGAAAGAAAAAAATCTGGCGATTAAAACGTATTTAAAACATGTTTCGAGTCCCCCTCCTTCACGCCTCCCAGCACGGAGCGTGAGCCGAGGGGACAGGAGCGAGCGGTGAGTGCAATAATGCAGGACAGACAGACAGACACACAGACACACAGACACACAGACAGCGGGCCCAGCGATTAAACCCAGGCTGAGGATGGGTTTAAGCCGAAGCTCTCGGCCACTCTCCCCCCTTCCCCACACCCCGCTCGTCTCTCGGGGTGGGATGTGGGGCTCGGAAGGGAAAGCACTGCCATGGATGGTTTCCCGTCATTTCTTTCAGGTGCCGGGAGTCCTTTCCCAGCCTCCTCTCACAGTGCGAGATGAGATGTTAAACCCCTCAGAACGGGGGGGACACCTCCCAACTGATAAAAATGTCAAAACCTCACAGTAATTATCAGAACAGCCGAATTTACCGCCCCGGTAAAACAAAACCCCTCAGCCAGCAGCCTTTAAACTTCGCTTCAGATCTGGCGAGCCCCCGAGTGCAATTCTCCCTCTCATTCAAAGCGGAGCGAGCCGCGGAGGAGAAACGCGCGTTTTCCTTTTTCCGGGAAAAGCCGAACCCTTCCAAAGGAGCCGGGGAAAGGAGACAATACCCGCCTGTCCGGCTCCCCCCTCCCCGCCCGTGCCAAAATCACCACTTCGGAACACATCATGCAACAGGGGCGGCCCTTGTGCCCCACTTCCACAAACCGGGCACAGAGCAGAGCGGGGAGAGGAGGGGGAAGCCAAGAAAGAAAAGTGCCAAGGCAGGACGACACCCTGCCCGTGGGTGGAGAGCGTTACCTTGTCCGGTGCCAGTCGTGTCCAGGCTTTTTGTTCCCCCCTGTCTTTAGTTGAGCCACGGGGAAGGGGATGAGGGGAAGCAAAATGATATCCGAAGTTATCCTGCCCCTTCCAAAAGGGAAATGCAATAATGCCACCAGTGTTTCTCCCCGGCTGCGGCAGGGATGCTTTATTAATACTTTATTTCTCCAAGCCCGAAGCTGGCAGGAGAGCCGCAGATCCCCCTTGCCCCTCCCTCCCCTCCCTCCCCCTCCTCTGAAATTAGCCTCATCAATTCAGCTACAAGTTTGCAGTTCGGATGCAGACACGGGGCTGAACGTGACCAGACCTGGAGGTTTTTTGGCTCGCTGCTCGCCAGCGATTGAGGCCGCCTGCAGCCGGGAGGTGAAGGGGGAGCGCAGGGACAGCCCCGCAGCCCCGGCCTCTCCCGTCTGCTCCGCGCTCCCGGGGTCTGCGCCGGGGTCCCCCGAGAGCAGCACATCTGGATGCTGCTAGCGGGGTCAGGTCCCCCCTCGCCTAGGGCCACAAAACTGGAGTTCAATTAAAAGAAATCACGGTTAACCCTTTGCTTTCCTCATTCCTCTCGTTTTTCCCTGCCCTCTGTCCTGCCCACCCCCCGGCATTGCTGCGGTCCCGGCTCCCCCCTCGGCGTTCCCACATGGCAGGAGGTTGCAGCGACCAGAAAAGCGAGAGGTTAAAGGGAAGAGTAAAACGCATCCTTTCAAAACCCAAATGGTTTCCTCTCCAGACAACGCTCCCCACCAGCCCCGACAAACAACGCAGGTGGGGGGTGAGGAAGAGGACAGGTTGGGGATCTCAACCGCGAAAGGAAGGGGAAAAATCCCCTGGAATCGTCTGTCACCCACCGACCTCACAGGGCACTTTGAGTCGGGGCTGCGGGACTGACAGTGGGGGAGCCGGGGATCCAGGACAGGCGGGGAGAAACCACCTGAAAACGTGCCCAGCTCACGGGAGAGGAGCCCAACACCTTCAAACCCCCTGAACCCAACACCCCCCAAACCCCTGAGCCCAACACCTTCAAAACCTGAGCCCAACACCTTCAAACCCCCTGAGCCCAACACCCCCCAAAGCCCCTGAGCCCAACACCTTCAAAACCTGAGCCCAACACCTTCAAACCCCCTGAGCCCAACACCCCCAAAACCCCTGAGCCCAACACCTTCAAAACTCTCTGAGCCAAACACCCCCCAAACCCCCTGAGCCCAACACCTTCAAAACCTGAGCCTAACATCTCCAAACCCCCAGAGCCCAACATCTTCAAACCCCCTGAACCCAACATCTCCAAAGCCCCTTTGCCCAGCTCGGGGCTGAAGGGACAAACAGATCCAGCTCCGGCCGCGCATCCCCGGCGCTCCCAAAGACGGGAAGTTGCCAGACAGACCCCCCGTCATCCCACCGGCAGATATTTTAGGAACCCAACTCTGCATTTTATGACCAGACGGGCACCGTGACCCGCAGGGGCTTATTTTGCATGTCTGGGGATGACTGGAACGGAGCCTGCTCAGGTCACTTAGGATACCGGCTCTGCCAGGGATGCTCCGTGCTTTTCCTCCTGTGTTTGGTCTAAAGCAACATTTGGGAGAATCCAAGAGATAAGGGAATGAGCGAAGGTGTTACCTGCTCTAAAGACAAGACGAACAATCTCCTATTTTCCTCCCAAATAACGAAAAATAGAAGCTTTGCTTTATTTTTTCTTTCTGTTTTTGTTTTAATCCCCCACCCCCTCAAAAAAAACCCCAAAACCCTAAAAAAACCAAAACAAACAAAAAAACCCCCCAAAAAACTCAAAACCAAACCCAAAGCCATCTTTGAAGTTATGCCATACTTTTTGGAAAAAGCTGGAATATTCATAACCTCCGTACGCCAAGCTCTGAATCATCCTAGGTGGTTGTGCCGTGACTCTGGGTATTTAACTGCTATTTGAGTATTTGACGGAGGTTTTAACTGTTATTTAACTGAGTATTTCACTGTTATCGAGCTTCATTTAACCAAGAAGGGAGCCGAGACAGGCAGGGCAAAGGCGGGCACGGGGCTGAGCAGTGTGAGCCACTCTGGGTCTGTTGCTCGCCCTTGGGGTGCACATGTACGTACAGCAGAGGAATTAGGATCTGTTTAATGTGGTCGCCACCAGACATCTGGAAAATCATTTGATCTTGGCAACCACGGGAGATTTCAAATGCTTACATCAGGACAGGCTGGTAGAAATCAGTTACTCCTCAATTATTATTATTTTTTATTATTATTTTTTCTTTCTTTCTTTCGCTCGGTTAATGAACGGAACGGAATTGTCGAGCGGCGTTTTTAATTAGTTCAATTGATCTCGGGCGCTTGGCACGTCCCCACCTCCTGTCCCCGTCCTTAGGGCTGGGTCCCACACGGAGAAGGTGAAAACGCCGCGATCCGAAGGAAAGGAATGAGGAGCCACTGAGGGACCTGGCCTGGAGCTGTTTCGTGTCCAGACCCAAATGAATTAACCCTTGGTGTAGTTCGGTGCCAGTCCCTTGCAGAACCGCAAAGATTTGGATTTTCTCTCTGTTACCCACGCGGGATTAGCGGGCATCACTTTATAATTAAAACCGTCCGGTTACTCCCTAGGAATAAACACAATGAAAACCTTCCCGAGCCCCATTGCAGGTTGGGAATCTGATTTTCCGAGGATGGGAGAGGGGATTGGCTTCTGTCACCCTCTCTGACCCCAAGAGCATCAGCTGAGCTGTCGTTGAGCCCAGCCTGGAAATGTCGCTGTGAACTAACGCCGTGATAGGGGACGGGAGCTCAAAAAAACCCCAACATCCACGCCCTGGCTTTGTAGCTAGAAAATGCTTCATTTCCCACTAAATGTGACAAAGTTTCCCTTTTTTAAAACGAGCTTTCAACACATGTGTATTTATATAACCCGCACTGGGTACATTGTGTATTCTATATCTGATATTACTTTTTAGATAACTGTAATACATTCTATTCTCGCTAAACCTGTGTATAATTCCCATCATTCCGTACTTGCAGAGGGCCAGAGTTTATCCCTCTCCAACCTTCACTGGACGGAAATTCTCCCCCAGCTCCCGTGAAGGTTTAAAATCCCCTGTTCTGACTTTCCTCTGGCACCGACCCCATGGCAGAAAGAAAAACGCGACGTGTTTGTTTATTTTCTAAGCCCACATTCTTACGAGCAAAAAACCCCAAACTGCAGCCCTGGGATTTGATCCCCAGAAACGAATCCCAATTTTAGACCCAACTAATTGGGCAAACCTCCGCAATAAAAGGGAATCGGGAGAGTGTTCCGGGCGCAGGACTGAAGGATCGGGTCCCTCCTCCCTGCAGGAACAGCCCAGGAGATCTGGGAACCTGAAGCCGGGAAGTTACTCCCCGCTAATCGCTACTAAGTAAAACATAAAGTCCTAAAAGTGGGGTGGAGAAGATGCAGCAGCTTTGAAGCTGCATCGCAATGAGGGGCGAGCGGGGCGAGCCAGGGGTGTCCTGGCTGCTTTTATTTGAGTTCCATGTCCCAATAAAACAGCCCCCGCCTTCCCTCCCTCCCCCACCCCACAATTATTGAAAAGCTGAGGCACAAAAAACAAAAATACTGAAGGCCAAAAAAACAGACTGCAGTGCACTAGCTCCGAACGTCTGGCCCCTCGCTTGAGGCCATAATTAATTTGAGATTTATTTTTATTGGAGAACCCAGTCTCGTCTGACCTTAGCCAAACAAGACTTCAGCGAGACCCTTGATGCGCTTGAATGGAACAGAATATTTCTCTCTAACTTCTCTTCAGGCGGCCGTGCCTGCTTTGAATTTGTTCCTCAGACTTCATATATTTGGAGATTTACAGGAAAGATTTAAAGCATTTTTCCCCCTTAGCATTCACTCTCTCTTTTCTTCTCTTTTTGCTCTGCCTTCCCTCCACCCCTCGTCTCCTTCTAAACACGGGGCTGGGAAAGCACAGGGAGGGCTGGAATACAAAATTCCCCGGGTCCAGCATATTGGGAGGGGGGCATTTTTCTTTAAATTGGGAAAGAATGGAGCCATTAAAAGGTCGCAGAGCTGGGCAGGGGGATTGCTTGTAGCTGCCTAAAGGCGGAGGTCACTGGAAAAGCTCGCCTCTCCTGCTCGGTTTATTTTAGAAAGTTCCAAAGTGCCACAATTCCTGGAGAAAAACAACTTTTCTCCCACCTCGACTTCAATTCAAGCCACGTCTTGAAGGTAAAGCGGGGAAGGACAATGCCAGCCCTTCCCCACGCAGCTGAAAAAGGCAGGACACGGGGACACGGAGAGGGATTTTTCTCTTTAAAATAGAGAGGTCGGTGCGAACAAGACCTAAAATCCTTAAGCACCAAGTTGTCATAAGGCGTTAATCAACGACTTGCCAAAGTCCGACAATTACCCAGCGTTTATGCCGCGAGAAATGGGTGCCAAAAAGGGAAAGAAAGAGAAATGATTTGGTATAAACGTAATTAGTGATTGCGCAGGGGGAGTGACGTAGGAGTTCACAGCAGCTCTGCCCCCGAAGCCACCGCAGTCCCCTCCCCTGTCTGGAGGTGCCTGTCCCGTCCTCCCCAGCCCAGGGGACAGGACTGGAACCCTGCGGATGCCAGGGATGGGGAAAGGGAAAAAAGAACAAGCAGAACCGGAAAAAGCTGTGCAGGATGCGCTCAGTAGGAACATCAGCACCCGGACCGGGGTAAAACCAGCCCAGGGAAGTTTTGGGGGT